GAGGCGCGTCGTTCCACGGACGGGGAACGAGAGAAATCTCGCTGTCGCGATCGATGTCGATTTTTCGGCTTCGGACGGTAAAAGCGCATCGAATCGATCGAGAATTTAAAAGTTCGACACCGTACGATTGCTTTGCCGTAATATTTGGAATCTACTTTTAGCCGCGATCGATTAATCGTTATAGCAACGCGTAAATCGAACGTTTCTGGTTGCAGGTCAAGCGGAGAGCAAACCGCGCGTATTCTCACCCCGCATGGACTACGACGAGTGGACGCCGCTGGGTCGCGGCGATCCCCTCAAGAACAATCCTACCTTCGACTACGTGCCTCCGGTTCTCGACAGAGTTCAATACTGGCTGGACTCTCACACCACCGAACCTTCCGCGAAGCGAGACATTCTCGTTCTGGGAGTGACCGCGAAAAAGACCAGCCCGAAAATTCCGGAACAATTTCTCAAGTTTGTCGACGGACCGAAATTCACCAGATCGAATCAGGAGGTTTCGTACAGGAACGAGTTTACCGGCAGCACCGGCGCCGAACCTCCGAAAGTAGTACGAACAACGAATTTCAGAAACGGACCGATCGACTACAGAAATCAGAATCGCATTCAGTCGATACCGGCCAGCTATTATCCCAGTCCGTTTTACGATCAGAAGACGAAACCGTATACGATGATGTTGCCGCCTCCGTTGACCCAGAAGGACAAGATCGTCAGCTTCGTCGAGCCTACTCAACAGTTCAGCACGCAAACGGAGGAGGGTCCGGTGTCCCTTCAAGGGTCACAGTTCTACGCGGTGCCCGCGAACAATTACGGTCAACAGCAATCGTACAAGAACGCGTCCAAGCCTCCGAACAAGGGTCAGCTACTCTCGCAGGTGGAAACGATCAAGAGCGCGTACGCTCCATCCTCTCCGCAGCCTACGAAATCGAGATACGAGAGCGCGACGACCCCTTCGGTTTCCTTCGAGAAATCGAATTTGATTTATCAATCGACTCAAACGCTTTCTGGTGGATGGCCAGGTAGCAACGGCCCCTCGTCGACGCCGACCATCTCCGACGCGAAGCAATCCACTTGGCAGACTCCGGATTATTCTCGCGACCAGTACGAAGTCGACCACCACGCAGCCGCGTCGTCCAACCACGAAGTGGTGGTTGAACAGAACGCGAACATCATCGTCGACGGGGATAGCAACGAGAACGAGGAAGTGGTGGTAGGACAGAAGGAAGCGTCCTCGACGTTGGGGAACGTCGTACGCTCGACCACCGATTCCTCGAACGACGCGAAGAACACGGAAGAGGAAACGTCGACCGGTCAACCTTCCGAGAAGATGCACATCGTCGTCGCCAATTCACCCTCCAGTTTGGACGCGGAAGGACACGCGAACAACGGGCCCGTGGCCGTGGTGATGCCGACCAATTACTCGGATAAGAGGCTCAACGACACCGTTCGAACCTCGGAAACGATCGCGCCAACTTTCAGCGTTCCGGGAAACTGGACCACCGCGGAAACGGAACCGACCAACGGAACTTTCTTCAAAACGGAGTCGCAACCGATTAGAAATTCGGTGAACGGTTCCCCGATTTTCCCGGAAGATTCTAGGACAGCGAATCTACCGAATAGGATGGTCCCACCGCCTCAACAACGTCAGCGTTTCCAACCGACGATGGCTCCGTTCCCTTCCAGACACCCCGTCAACGCTCTGTCAGTGTTCGGCCCTCCGCAAGCGCCTCTCTCCTCGATGATGCACCCTCATCAGTCCAGACCTAACCACGGAACGATGCACTTTCTCGGTAGCGTGCGCCCGAACGTCCCCTTCCGGCTACCGGGATCGATGCCGATGTTCCCGCCGATGACTCACGTGCACGCGCCCCCTGTCAAGCCGACGACCAATCACGCGATGCTTCCATCCGTAGCTATGGATCACAGGATGCCCCAGAGTCAAGATTTTCCGACGATGATCGTCGATTCGCCGGCTACGTCGTTGATGGCGGAGGATCACTCGTTCGAGGATCACAGGTCTCGTATGCCGGACATCACCGCGACGATCACTACGCCCACTCCGTTCTTGCCGACCGTGTCTTCGGTCGAGAATTCGCCTGTCACCTTTGCTCCGACCGAGCACTCTTCGGTCCCGGAAACGACCACCGCTGTCGAGGAAGAGAAAAACGGTTGGGAAGCGTCGTCCACGTCGTCGCCTTCCGGTCAACCTTCGACGACACCGTCCTCGCAAATTACCACCGTGCCGAGCTTGACCACCGATCCTATTTTCTCGCATTACAAGCAACCGGCCAAACCCATCCGAGGACCGATGTACCTTATCATTCAAGGCCACTCGAAGGTGAAGACGTACAAACCCATGGTCAGCAAGCACAGCGTGCCGGTGGAGATGAACGAGGTGACGGAAAGACAGCTGTCCAAGTTCGAGCAGTTCATCGAGGAGAACACGAAGCGGGGAAACGCGAATGCGGCGACGTCGGAAAAAAAGAAAGCCGAGGAGAAGGCACGAGCGGAGAAGATCGCTCGGGTTCGTCAGAACAGTTTGATGAGCCTGGTCGAGAGCGGATTGGACAGTTTCACCTTGTCGCCTTCCTCTTCCGCGACGGAGGACGAGCACCGGGCGAACGCCGTGACCACCATCGAGATCGAAAATTAAACCGCGACACCGTGCCGTGTCGGCGGGAACGAACTGTACGTCGTTGAGACAACGATCGTTTCGTTGAAATTTCTCGTTACGTTACGATTTTTGCGTTATTTATTGTCTCGATCGCGTTACTTCGGGACGGCGTTCGCAGAGGCTCGCCGCGGTGGACTCGCGTTCGATTTCGCCACGGTCTCATCCTTCGCAAGAGGAGACACGCCAATTTCTAATGTGCCAGTATACGCATACGCATGCACGCGCTCGCGCGTACATCCGTATGTACGCGTACGCGTATATCAAAATATTTATACGTCACCGGTCGTGACGCGACCAAGGATTCGCTCGACGAGACGGTTAAACCGAGCGATCCCGCGACAGAGACATCGACAGCATCGATGTACCATGTTACGTATGATAATTGTACCTGACGGTCAGCCGTTTTGTTGATTTTCCGTTTATCAATAAATTATCGCATTATCAAGATCGATGCGCGTAATCGAGTTTGATCCACGATCCGTGTCTGGAAGCTGATCGATGCGACGCGATGATTCGGTTCGGTGGAAAGGTGTCGGTCCGGTGCGTCGGTTATCCCCGTCGCGCGGCATCGAAGAAACGGCGATCGATCGCACGCCCACCGGATAATTTATCGCGAAGAATACGCCTCGAGAGTAGCCATAGGGTCAAACCTGCCGAAACGGTACTTGCTCTCGATTTATCGCCGCTAATGATCCTTAATTCTCGCCCTCGACTTCGTTTCGCGTTCGATTCTTCGAAGCATCTTTGACCGACCGACCAACACCCTTTCTTCTTGCTCCGTAATTACGCGGTATGACGAACGACGAGTAACGATCTCTCATTGTCTCGGAGATACCTTTTCTCGGGCGAAGCTCGTCGCGCGGCATTGCTCGGCAGCGAGGGTTCTGTTCGGTCGCGTGGACTTTTCGGAAGAGGAAAACGTATCGGGGCTGACTCGCCGCGGCACCAAGGCAAAAAGGAATAGAGTAAGACGAAATTGCGGAGCGGCGAAGGGAAGTACGAGTTACAGCTGGAAAGAAGTCGAGACGAGCTACGGAAGGAGGAGGTCGGGGTGCACCGAAAGCACGAATTTAAGGTTAATTTATGGTGTAATTTAGTATCAATGTCGGTAGCATAAATCTCTCGCGGAGGACAGGGGTCCGGCCCCGCGTCGTGGACGTGCGTGCCGAGAAAAAAGTCGATGAAATAAAGTTACCGGCACGTAGAAGCCAGCCGACTCCGTGTACCGGTATCTCTCTTCTCCAGACGTCTCCCTTCTTCCACCTTTTTCCCTCTTCTTTTTTCTTCTTTCTCCCGTTTCCCTCTTAATGATTCGATTTCGCTGAATCTCGTTCCCACCGCGTTCTCGACCGATCTCGTTCGATTCGATTTCGTTCGATTCGGTTCCGAGGCGACGACGATCCTTTCTCAAATTTTTGCGTCGGCAAGAAGACGAGGGCAAATCTCGCGCCGTAGATCTCGTCCGAGATTAAGCGATCGTGCTTCGAAAAAGGGTGTTTCCTGACAGGCTGAAAAATTGCACGATCAGCGAGAAAAATGTCCTCGCAACAAAGTTACCGAAGGAAGAAGGCGAGGACCGGTTCGCACCTACGTTTTCGTTTCCTTTCTTTCCGTTCTTTCGAGCGGCTCGTCGATCGGTGTCGTAACAGCCTCGTACCCGACGCTTCCGCGAGTTCGCTCGTCGCTACCCTCCGAAACCCGCTGGCCGCATTATCCGCTTTCGTGGACGGAAGTTTCGTCGTCCGGTAGAAAATAAGTCGGCGGAGGAGGAAGCGCAGGGAAGAAACGCGTAATAACGTCGCGTATTCAGCGAGGTTAGCCGATGACTCGCGTGAAAAGTGGGTCGCACGATTCACGACTCACGACTTCGAAGCGGCATCGCAAAATTAAGAGGACCGATCGTCGGTTCTGTTCGCCGAACGACCGACCACGGTGCCGCGCGTGTTTTACTCGGGACCCGAATGCAACGGATGCGGAACGTGAGAAAAATTTCAGGCTTTAACGCGTTGACGTCCAGATAGAGAAGCGGCACGACGAGAAGGTCATACCCGTCAACTTTAATGAAAGTTAAACGCACGGGGATGGGTTCGCGTCATTATCTTACCGTTAGCGGTCCTCGCACGGCTATCAACGCCGATTCCACGCGGAAAAATCTCTTTCTCTTCTCTTTCGGCCTCCTCTTTCGTCTCTCTTCGACTACAACTAGTCCGTTTTTTTCTTAGGTTTCGCGAAGCGCCGCAGCGGAACGGAAACGCTTCTATCGCGACTCGTGACTTTCCACGACGCCGAGAGGACGCGTTAAAGACCGACGACTTAGAGCGCTTGGCGAGAAACGATCGAGCGACAGGTTAAATCTAGAGAACGTTATATTTATTTCTAGGGGAATCGGGGAAAAAAGTTGTCGGGCCATTTACGGCCGATCGGATCGAGCGATCGCGCCGATTACATCCGGTTGTCCGATCGATTGGACGCGATGCACCCTTCGTTTCGTCGTCGCTAAAGGTCGACTTCTCGTTCTCGATCGACCGGCGAATAACGCGCCGCTCGTCGAGGGAAGTTTCGGGCGCGAGTCAAAGTTTCCGTAACGGCGCGATCTATTCCTGACCAGTGGAAAGCTTCTTTTTCTTCATCCTACGTCCTCGTCCTCGTCCTCGTCGCGTTCCGCTGCGATGCTAGTTTCAATGTAGAACGTGGAGATCGTCTACGGGAAGCGCAGGCCTCATTGCACCACTGTGGAAACTAGAAACCGGTCGTAAAAACTAACCCAATATCGGCGTCCTCGAACCTGCCTCTCCACCGTTTCGCCTCGCTTCGGTTCTGGTACCTGGAACCCACGCATCTGGCATCTAGTGCGGCCTTGTTCTTACGCGAACGAGTCGTTCTCCGTGCTCGATAGGCAATCGAGAAAAAAGCTAGAAGCTCGATTCTCGAGAGTCTCGAAATCGAAAGAGGATCGGAGGAGCGAGAAGGTAAGCCGGGTCGAATCGCGAACATTTCGTTCGGAAAGCGGCCTCTCCGTCGATGATTTTCCTAAACGATTCGCCGATTAAAGCGAACGGCGATGCTAAACGAAAACTCGATTCGAATAAAGGATCCCGGTATCGATCTCGATTGATCAGAAACGTTGTCGATTCGAAGCGGACGCTATGGAAATCGTAGCGCGGGGCGGGGAGGCAAAATCTCTTTCTCTTCTCTTTCGGCCTCCTCTTTCGTCTCTCTTCGACTACAACTAGTCCGTTTTTTTCTTAGGTTTCGCGAAGCGCCGCAGCGGAACGGAAACGCTTCTATCGCGACTCGTGACTTTCCACGACGCCGAGAGGACGCGTTAAAGACCGACGACTTAGAGCGCTTGGCGAGAAACGATCGAGCGACAGGTTAAATCTAGAGAACGTTATATTTATTTCTAGGGGAATCGGGGAAAAAAGTTGTCGGGCCATTTACGGCCGATCGGATCGAGCGATCGCGCCGATTACATCCGGTTGTCCGATCGATTGGACGCGATGCACCCTTCGTTTCGTCGTCGCTAAAGGTCGACTTCTCGTTCTCGATCGACCGGCGAATAACGCGCCGCTCGTCGAGGGAAGTTTCGGGCGCGAGTCAAAGTTTCCGTAACGGCGCGATCTATTCCTGACCAGTGGAAAGCTTCTTTTTCTTCATCCTACGTCCTCGTCCTCGTCCTCGTCGCGTTCCGCTGCGATGCTAGTTTCAATGTAGAACGTGGAGATCGTCTACGGGAAGCGCAGGCCTCATTGCACCACTGTGGAAACTAGAAACCGGTCGTAAAAACTAACCCAATATCGGCGTCCTCGAACCTGCCTCTCCACCGTTTCGCCTCGCTTCGGTTCTGGTACCTGGAACCCACGCATCTGGCATCTAGTGCGGCCTTGTTCTTACGCGAACGAGTCGTTCTCCGTGCTCGATAGGCAATCGAGAAAAAAGCTAGAAGCTCGATTCTCGAGAGTCTCGAAATCGAAAGAGGATCGGAGGAGCGAGAAGGTAAGCCGGGTCGAATCGCGAACATTTCGTTCGGAAAGCGGCCTCTCCGTCGATGATTTTCCTAAACGATTCGCCGATTAAAGCGAACGGCGATGCTAAACGAAAACTCGATTCGAATAAAGGATCCCGGTATCGATCTCGATTGATCAGAAACGTTGTCGATTCGAAGCGGACGCTATGGAAATCGTAGCGCGGGGCGGGGAGGCACGGAAGCGACTGCACGACCGCGTCTATGGACGAGCGAGGCGGTTTAGACCGGTGAGCTCGTGGAAAGAAACGAAATGGTACGTGAGTTCCAGAAACACACTGACGACTCGACGTTTCCTCGTATCGATGGATGGCTTCGCCTCGCCGCCGTCCCTTGTCCGGTATGCGAAACGCTTCCTGTCAAGCGAATACCATCCGATTCTTTCTCTCGTACGCGTAGCCTAGTCTCGCCGGTTTACAGACCACGCTCGTTATCCGTCTCCTTCCCCTCGCCGAACCCTCTACCGATTCGCGACCTTTCTCAGCTTCCGAGCGTCGCGTCGTTCGAACGGTATCGCGCGATTCGTTGTTCCCCATAAATCACGGGTTAGAAGGTCGCGATAGGAGATCGATCGATCCGTGAAATTCGCGTCTCGGACGTGAATCGTCGCGCGGAATGCGTAGGACGCGTAGAAGCAAAGCGTCGCCGCGATCGGAGATACGTGATGGCACGCGACCGGCCTCCTTCTTTCTTTCTTTTCGATCCATTTCGCGTTTCTTCGATGCTCGCTTTTCTCCGCGAGCCAAACCGAAGCTCGCGATTCGAATCCGGGTGAAAGCTCGCACGACGGGAAGGTTCTTTCGAACCGTAGCGGAAACTACCCCCGACTCGTCGTTGTCTCTGCATCGATTAGCACGCGTTTTTCGAAGCGGTGAAAGTGGAATGCAAACGATATCCTGGTCGTAGGAAGCGAGATTCGTCCGCGGAATGAATGTTAAAGCAAACTCGATCGGTTGGTTCGTTAGCTGTTCCGTTGGCCGGCACGTAGGTACCGGATACGAGAAGAAAGTTAGTCGTCGATTTGGACGGAGACGAAAGTGTCGCTTGGATTCCGGGTGCGACGACCCATTGTCGAGCTTTGCATACGATCGATCGGCACCGAAGGATCGCTCGAGTTTTCGCGATCGAACGAATTTCCCTTCATTTTGCAGTTGTCGCGAAAACGAAGCGCGGAGTCGAAACAAATCGAATTTCACGCGATCGTCGCCGAGGTAACCACCGAAATGAAACGTTACGAAACTCGTTCGGCGAGAGTCCAAACATCCAGCGAATCATTAACTTCACCGGTGTACGTACAACGATGTACCTACACGACGTCGATAGGGTCAGGTCTCGTCGAAAAGATTGCTCCGGGCTGCCAACATCGTGCGGCATACTAATTTCCATGCAGTTACAAGAGCCTGGATCGGCCGGGCTCTAAGAGACGCGATGCCAACCGATCACAAAAATGATCGTTTTGAGGCTTTCACGACACGGTTCGCTACAGTTAATACCGTTTAAGGGGTTGTTCTACTAACGCGAACGGAAAAGGTTAACGGTCTTTAGGACGCTTTTTCTTTTAGAAATAAGAAAATGATCTCTATGGGATTTTACTCGTAGTTTTATTCGCGCCTTAACGATATAATCGGAGTAGATTGTCGTTGACTCGACGCGCAAGGTAACCGAGTTAATCGACGACAAAAATATTTCTAACGAACGACTGTATTTGCGGACGATTCGTGGTTGTCGCGAAAAAGTAACAGACGTTAAACGTCTTCGTGACCGATAGAAAGACGATAACATAAAAATGCGTAGTATCGCATATTTACCAATAAATATTTCAACAATGATCGATAACGATTCAACTATAGAAACTTCTTCGAAGCAGAGCGCTTATTTCGATTTGTGCTTCCATCTTGCGGTAGCAAAGGTAGAACTGTATCACTTCTGCTTCAGCAAACTCTCGAAATAAAATTATGATAATTATCCCTGCAAATTGTTGCTCGTGCAATTTACCCGCATGTTGCAAATTTATGTTTGTGAAAAGTTAGATCGAATACTTGTAAGGTCGAATAAGTTGGAAACAGGAAGATTCGTACTGTAATCGTTTATTACTACGTTATTACATGCGCAACGATGGTCGTAAACTGATATATCAAAATGATTAATCGATACGGATACATGGTACGAAACGTAACTATACAAATATATTTATATCACAGTCGTAGACAAAGAAATTAACGTTAATCGATATCAAGATTATTTCGCTGAAAATCGCCGGAAGCAAACGAATACGTTACGAACGCAGCGCAAACGCATCGACGCTAATTTTATTCTCAAACGCGAAATATTTGATACTCGTCCATTTTTTATACGATACATTAGCAACCTTCGATCTCGCATATATCCAGAGCTCGCAAGCGTCGCGCAAATGGAACAAAGTTTAATATTTTTCTCATCTTCGCGCCATTTTAGTTGTCTTTTCTTGAAACGATGATTTTACGTTCGTTAGATCTATCGGATTCGACGACGTAAGATTTGTTAAACGCGCGATATGTGAATCGCATCGAGAAACGACCAACGTTAACGATCAACGTCGAGTAACGACGAAACGTTCAAAGGCTATTATCGTTAGGACAATTTACGTTAAAATCGCTCGTCTAAGCGTAGGATGGTAAAACCAGTGTTGTCACGGCCGAAACCTCGCGCTTACAGGACTATCGAGTGATAACTCTTTCAAGACGATTATAACGCTTTCCTCGATGTGTCGAGCGATGCAGATTAGCGGATCGCGATCAAGACACACGGACAAAGCGGATCAACGTCTGCTCGCGAGGTCGTTTTCCGGTCGCGCAATATCCAGGAACGAACAACGATAAGCTATTCTCGACATACGATCGTAGATTAACACTCGCAATGGACAAAGAGAAAAGTTGAAATACTCTGTTCGGAGTTTTTACGATAAACGCTTATGCTACAAATGGCTGAAGCCAAACCTGACTCGAGTCTACCTCCGTTATTACGTGTTCATTTTCTTCTAACAGGTTGCGGTGAAAATGCTGCACCGAGATTCTATAAATACCCAAACGGACGAGTCCGCGCTACGTCCAATAGGTTTGTATACGACTCGTGCGTATCGAAGCAGTTTTCGAATGGAATCGATGTCATTCGGTAGAATTTGGAATTGAACTCATTATCTAGACGGTAATGAAAGATTGCCGACAGTAAGAGATTTTAAACGGGGAAGAAAAGGACACGAAGTGTACCTTGATTTAATACCGGCTGGGTATTAATCTCTTGCGCAAGTGCCTTCAGAAGAAATTAATCCAGTTAACGATCTAACGTCGTCCAGGAAGATAGTGCAAAGGATTAATATCCCTCCGGGTGTACGACGCGTATATTCGTCATGGAACATAGACAACTAATCTTTCGACTACGACAAAGCTAGACGCACAGTTTTTTCGAAATATTCGTGAATTCGTCGAATGCACACGAAGCGGCGACGCAACTAGCGTAAGCTTTCGCGCTCAACTATGATATCGATCGAGAACAGTGATGCAACGATTCTAAACAGTCGCGAGAACGATATTTAACGGGAAGTTTTGATTTTGAAACTCGTGAGGGAAGAGTCGATCCCTATATCTTAATAGAAGTGTTTGTACCGAAGGTACATTATCAACTTTTTTCGAGAAAAATAGCCTATCACTTAAAACTTGTACAGTTTATCGATAACAAACGCCTCGCGTTTACATCATTCGTTCGGAGTTTCGTAATCTTTTCCACTACGATACTACGTTTTGATTCTTTCGTTTGGACATCGAAAACAAATATTGACTGAACGTCGACTCGTGTTCTGGTAACCGCTTCATGGTCACAGAGCAGTTCTCCTATCGGCGAGAAATGCTCGTTGCGGCACAAATTCCACTATCTTTCCTTTTGCTGTTCGATCATTAATATCATCCATGGAGAAGCAAAATATTTCTCGTCGATTTCATCGATTTCGGTCGATAATCCAGTACCTTTGACGGATGATTCTCGTAACGTTTTCGATTCGATTATTCCCTCTGACGATCGTTATTATCCAAAGGGAAAGAAATTTTCCTCGTCGATTCGAATCCTCTTATTCTTTACTCTGCACACGTTCCTCCAAACACGCGAGACTAACACTCATTTTTCAAGTTACTTCATCGAGAAACACCGATCATCTCGAACGATCCGCTTTACCCTGCTCGCGTACCTCAAATTTCGAACAGCAGGTTAGAATCGGCGATTCCGAACAGCGATTCGCACCGCGTTTACTCTGTAGATTGAATTTATCTAAAAACGCAGCAGAAATATCGAGACGAACGTCCGAGACGAGTTACGAATCGGGACGTTGGTCCGACTTCTCCTTTTCTCAGAAATTCGCTTCCAAAGAGTTCTCGAGCTCGTTCAGAGGCGGCACCAACGTTTGAAGCGAGAAATATCGCGATCGATCCGCGGCATCGACGCTGGTCACGTGCTGAAACTGACAGGGTTGGCTGATGTTGCTTTTCGCCGGTAGAACCACCTTCTTCGGCACCTGTTTCTTCTTCTTCTTTCCCGGTACCGAAAGGCTGATATTTTCCGGGCAGGACACGAGCCGTTCTATGTGCTGCCAGAGATCGTTCGCAGCTTTCGGATTGTCGAAACTGAGGCCAGCCAAGCGCGTATGGTCGGAGGAAAGACACATCGTGTGAAATGCCGGTCCTGACACCTGAAACGCATTACGTTATACGCGTTACGTTCGGTAATATTTTTCCTTTGTTTATTTTTTTCTCGTATAAAACGATCGCGTTTGCGGCCGGACAACCGGTTACGCGGACCCACCTTGTACGACGACAAATTGTCGATGGTCTCTCTCCATAAGGTGAAACAGGTACCGCGTTCGGCCAGCAGAATTTGAATTCGTCTCTTTGATCTGGATCGCGTTTCTCCGAGATCCAGCACCACCACGGGTATACCGGTGAATCGAAGTTCCCATCTTTCGGTCTGCGACGCGCTCCCCAGGTACAAATTTGCCAAAGACTCGCAGACGAATACCTGTGTTCAAAGAAAGGACAATTTTTCTCTTTGAAAACGTACGCCTTCCATCGTAAAATAGCTTTATTTCAACTTGAATGCATTCGAAAATGGTACGTTCCGCTGACACTCGCAACGAGTCTCCCGCTCGATGGCGCTGGCGACACCGTTTTTAAAGCGCGCATCGATGTAAAATAAAAAAAATGGTAAAAAATATTCAATCGGTGGTTTCGTTGTTATTCTATATACCTTGGAATATTATTTATGAGAGTAACGCGACGAGTCGCGAGGCAACCGTGACTTTACCTGAGATTTTAAGCCCCGGAAAAATGTTTCGAGCTGCTCCCTCTCCATTTGGCTAACCGGTTCCAGACGGGACTCGTCGCTGTTTTCGGAACTGTCGCTACCCTCGTAACTGGACGTGGCCGAGGTATCCGCTTCGCCCGTCGACGATAATCTTCTCCTAGCGGCTCCGCTGTACTCGTTGTAGTAAGAAGAACTGTGCAGCGAAAGATTCGACTGCAACGCGGGGCAGGACGAAGCGTATACCGGTGCGTTCATTTTCTCCTGAAAACAACGATTGAATTACCTTTAAGTTTCCTGTTTCACAGCAACCTTCTCGATCGAAATTATTCGCGTCCTAATGCAATTTTGTACGTTCGGGAATCTTATGGTAGCGAGAGAGAAATTTGCGGTCCTTCCGCGAGCTCCCGCGAAAGCTCATCGATTTTCTCGAGTCAAACCCCCGTACAGTGGAGCCATGGTATCGTTCTATAAATAACCGTGACCTCTTTATCGGATGCTGTCCCTGGCAACCCGAAAATTTTCAATCCGTTTTTAAGTCGTAGTCCCTTATCCCGTTGCACTCCCGCAGTTTCTTGAATCATCGACGAATTCGACGAATAGGACTCTCCGTTTCGAACTCGCGTCAAGAGACTCCGAAGGATTCGACTTAGAAGTAGCACAGAAAACGCGCGATACGAGCCAAGACGGGAAGGGGAATCGTTTGTGTTCTCGAACTACCCAGAACTCACGGTGGCTCCTTTCGTTTCCCTTTTTCGCGACCGGGTCGTGTACGGAGGTGAACAAAAAATGGGTCGTTGGTTGGCGGATACGGTGACGCAAGGGACGCCAGCGGCGGCGCGGCTAAAGCTAATCGGCCAATGGCGTTTTAGTCGACCCACTTAATCGAGGCGAGAAAAGTCCCACTCTCGTTCGACCTTAATTCGATCACGACACGACGCCTTTAACGAGCTACTCGGCTGACTAATCGCGGTTCATACGTTGCCCCGTCTATCGTCCAGGAATTTCACGTTCGATCGGGTTCGTCCACGGAAATCCGCAGGACTTCTACTCCGGTATCGCGATGAATCGAATGCTCCGACGGCCTTCTCTTTCCGAATCACCTAACCGGTGAATCAGTGCTCGTAATTTCCGCGAAAAGATTGACCGTCTCCCCTCGAGTCGGAGCAGTACCTGAACCGATACCATTCAGGAAGGGGAGCGCTCTCCCACAATTGGAGTGTTCCTTTGATCTTTCGGTTACGCGTACAAACCGATTCGTACAGCGAGCGCACGACGCACACGCGTACAAGAGGAAAGGGACTCCCTGGTTGCACCGATACTAACAAACGCGTCGAGTACCTTTCTCGAGTGACACTGTGCAATCATTGATCGCGTACGGTGTACCGAAACGTACGATAAGCTAACAGTTGGCTCGGCGACGAATGGAAAGCTGGACGAAACACGGAGCGACGTAAAGAGAAACAGGAGCGAGGAGAGGCCCGCATCGGTTTCTCGATAGCATATGGCCCATCGGGTCGGTGTAACGATACACGCGGATCGAAAGTTGAGTCGGTCGAGATGGCTGCAGTCGTGCGCGCGAAACGTACACCGGAAGCGTTATTGTCTGCGTTAGAACGCGCTCGACGAGGATGCGCCCATTGTTTCGACCCGATAAGCACTCGACGCTTCTTCGCTCGTAGATCAACTTGCCGATAATTACGTTCGCGAACCGTTTCGTTTCGCGTTCCCACGACGAAATTGTTCGACCGTGGGTATGAAATGTCGGTGTTTTTTTTATTCTCCTAGCGCGAACAATCAAGAAAACGTTGAAATCGGCATTGAAAGGACGAAAAAGGTACGCGTTCTCTATAGGCTGCTGTAGGAACGCGAAGAAACTCGAGCGTTTCCAGCGTACGTTCCAAAGTAAAAGGAACAAAGCGCTAGGAAGTATATTCTGCTGGCGATAGACATTGATTTACGATCTACGGCTCCGATTTTTCGCATAAAACACGCTCGTGTACGGAATTTTCGAACTCGTCCGAAAACCTCTTATTAGCATTTCCGAGCGCCTTCGTAAACGTCACCGCGTTAACTAATTAGACTCGAAAGCAACGAGATCGACCAACGACCGCGTCTCCTACGTCGTAAACACCCACGAGCGTTATTGACAAAGACTGCACTGGTAGATGACGGCAGAAACGTCGGCCGAGTAACCGCTCGAGCCACGGCGTAATTATTACGGAGACGCAAACGATCGTAACGAGCTATGGCGTCATCCTCGTCGACCACGTTTGCTCCAAGAAACCGCGTTGTTCGACGAATCGCACCGTTTCGCCGAACAAGCGTTTCTCCTCAAAGTTTCGACCACGATCACGCTCGGATAAGATCCTCGTTTTCTTTCGCGACTAAATCTTCGCTGGTACGACGGATTCCATTCGAGAGGCAACGTTACAGAGATACCGCGTGTCCCGCATTCCGTGGAAACGTGTCCGCTCGTTGGTTCCGGTACGAGAAGGACTCCGTTAGTCAGTCGCGATTCTCGAAGAAGGTACCTTCTCCAGGATATTCTCGAGTCGCAGCGAGTACCAGTACTAACGCACTAAGAAGAAAAGTTTCAACTACGAACACGCTTATTAAATACGAAGACAGAGCGATTGAAGATAGCGACGAAGAAAATGAAGGGTAATTACGTCGCGTTGTTCGAGCATCGAGCGTGGGAAGTGGAAAGAAAAACGTACGACTCGTGCGCCGAATCGAACAAACGAGTTTCTTTTCGGTATTCTTGCGGCAATCGCGATGAACGATTCTCGATCGCTATCGCGCGCCAGAAGAGAATCGGAGGCAATAACGAAACGAGAGGTGAACGTCGAAAGAATGGACCGGTCGAAACGCGTCGGAGCTTCCCTCAGGAAAGCGCAAGTCGCTAGACTCGAGACGAGAAACGAACGTGTTCGAGATAGCGCTGAAAATTATGCGGAGAAGCTCTCGGTCTGAGCGTAGTCTAGCTGCATGACAGGACGCATATTGCACGGGAAAGTAGCGTGCGCGTATCTGCATACATCACCGACTTAGGTAACGTTTCAGGGTTTGTCGCCGTCTTCCATTTATTCGCGTTCGAGTTGTTAGGAGCCGAGAGAGAGAGAGTCAGAAACGGCAAGACAGGAGTTGAACGTGGCAGCATCTTTACGATATCGCTAGCTGGAGAGATCTTTCGAAAAACCGTAGGGTGCCGTGCAATAGACGCATAAAATTTGATATTCCGACTATCGCAGGTGGAATATATTTTCCAAACATATTACTCGTAGAAGCGTAGTCGAGCTGCACGACACGGTGCATATTGCACGAGAACGTACATCACCGGCTTAGGTAACCAGACCTGCCGACCGACCGCAGCGCCGCAGATTAATCCTCGCCGCATTCAGGATAGCGTTCAGGAAGGATTAAATTCTTGCATGAAAAGAGGTATTCGAGGCGTTCAAAGGACTGCGCCGCGTTCCCTTCGGTGCGCGTTCGGTTCGACGCACCAAAGAGTACACGCGTTCAAAACCGAGAAACAAATTTCAATTTCGCGAAGAGCTCGCTTTCGGTCTCAAAGGCGCATCGATCGGGAAACTCGACACTCGAGATATAAATCGAACATTTCGGATAGAAATCATACCTCTCGAAAGAATTTCAGATCTTATCGCTGCTCGTCGATACAGTAATTCTTCGTTTGTACCGCAATAACGCGATAACGAGGAAAAGAAACGCGGATGTTTTCGTAGGAGTAAAATTGCGCGAAAGATTAACGACTTCCGCGAGTAGTCGCGATAAAAGCCGCTCTTTGACAAACGATGGCACAAGAATCAAAAGGATGCTACAACCGAGTCGACCATCCGCGAGAAATGAGCGACGCTCGAGCGAGATAAGGACGGTTATCTGGTGGAACGCGAGCAAGATATCAATTTAGAGCCGATGATTTATTTCCGCCTACGTAGCCTCTTAGTCATCGAGTTCCCCGATTGAATATCAACCGCGCGTCGAAACTGTTCGTCTCTTGGTTCTCCCGCGTTCTTGCTTTCTCTCGTTGCCTCGAAGTCGTCGCCGGTGTTCCTAAAAGCACCGGAACTCCTTTAATCGACGAATTCGAAACCGGTACGTCGAAGATTCGGCCGAAACCCGTGGGAAAGGTCGTAGAACGGGCTCGAGTCCCCTATGCCCGCGGGTGCCCTCGGTAGGTCTCGAGTAGAACATTGCCGTAGCTCGAGGTCAGTGACGTCAGCAACCATTAAGAGTAAGACTCTCGCGTCTCGCTTTCTTTTCTCCTGCTTCAACGTCTTCTGACGCGAGTCATTCGTCGTTTGCCACATTTTCAAAGCCTCGCGTATCGGTCACTCTAGGCGATAAAATAATTGGCCTAGGAGCAACGTACTCGAAGGATTCGCGAACTACTCGTAAATCTGTCGCGAGGTACGCGCGATCACTCGTCGCATTGTATTATTTATGAGAAGTTTCCAACGCTTCGGTATCTCGGAAACTCTTCGTCCTACGCGTCGAGGTGGGCGGTGAATTCGTTTTGAACAACTTTCTTTGGATAAATATTGTTATCGCGGTTAGTTAGGTCATCACCCGCATAAAAAGCTTATCCGGTAGGAAGTTGAAAGCCTTCGAGAGGGAAAGTTACGGGAAATGAACAAGAACGGTTCGATTCTAGACAGTCAACGTACGGAGATCACGATCGACGCTGATAACGACGGTCGATAATTCGTGATCAATCAACGATTTCGTAAAATTCGCTTTTCACTTTCTTTCTGCATACGATTATCGAAAGGGAGTGCTCGACGTCCAACCACTCGTTCAAACTTTGAAATTAACCGAGCGATGGGACGACTACCGTTTGTTTGCCGCGACAGGATACAAAAAGGAAGGCTGCGGTCGATTAAAGCGCAAAATGCGTTACTCGGTTGACGAGAGTTTAGCAACGGTAGACTCGAATTCCTAGAGCTCATCTTGTGGCGAGCGTACGATACGATCGAGTATCGCTGCTCCCGCGATGCACGAATACGTATTCGCGATACATCGCGGTTAGTTAAATTCTCGTCACGCGTTTCGATCTTACTCACACGGTTAGTCATCGTTATCGATATACGAGCAGCGATGTTTCTCGTTCTCGAGCGAACGAGTCGATAAGGAAAATTTGCCGGAACATTAATTACGCGAGATTCATTTCGATGACCGGTTCGTCCGACGATTTCCGCGTCCGATGCGTAATAAGGAGGAGATTGAAAAATGTAAATCACGCG